CTCGGTGTTTTTATTCAAACGTCAAACGTTCTTGGTCAAACGTCAAATGTTCTTGGTCAAACGTCAAATGTTTTTTGCGCCGCGAAATCGCTCCTCTAGATATTGATTAAAAAAGAAAAAAACTTTTAGCAAACGAAAGTTGACTGTTTTTCATTTGACTGCACAATGCTCAATATTAAAAAAAGTTATAGCACAGTCTGGTCAAAACTTGCCAGTGGCCAAACAGAATATATGGTACAGCTAGTGCGCTTCTTGTTATACTCCATCAAATAGTTGCAAATGAATCTCAGGTCACTTAAATTTGTTGCAGATGAATCTCAGGTCACTTAAATTTGTTTATGTATTATCTCAGGTCACTTAAATTTGTTTATGTATTATCTTGTGTACCGCAGTTAAATGACGATTACTTAAAAAATTTTCATGCAAAATTATCCAAAAATTAAAAGATTTAGAAATTTTGTGAGCGAGGACATAGTGTTATCCAGGAGATAGTTTGCACAGTTTGAAAGAAATATGGAAGTAGCTGAATTCTAAAATACATACCTCGAAAGAATTCAATTAAGTTGATTTAAATTATAGAAGAGTAGATGATGGATTTTCAAACCGTTGCTAAAAGATATACATCGCTTAAAACTGTTCCATATGCTAAAGTAAAGTTACTTAAATACTCAATGGATAAGCCATGGAGTGTTAAATATAAAACTGAGTTTAGTTCTGAATTAAAGTTGGAAAATATTCTTAACTATAACAACAAACACCAAAATTCAAATAATAAAAAAATTGCAAGCGATATAAAGTTTGTGCAACCAAATCTGCTTATAAAAAAAAATCTCAAAAGAAACAGTAGAAGATCTAAAATCAATGTTAAAATGCATGCCACTTTAAGACAGAGAATATATGTCATCGGTCTTACAAACATTTACGTGGCGTTTAAATTAAATGTTTTAATGCTACAAAACGTTTATGCTTTAACGTTAATGCTTAACGTTGATGCTTAACGTTAATGCTAAACGTTAATGCTAATCGTTAATGCTTTAACGCTTTAAAACGTTTAAATTAAACGCTTTAATTTTAAAACGCATTTAACTTTAATGTCAACTGTTATCAATTTTAGTTTTCCGCAAGTTTCAACCATATTGACAACTTGGTTTGAACTTTTTTTTATGAAAATTTGATCAAGTAAAAGAAATAATTTTATAAATTTTAATTTGCAGGTTGTTGTATTTCATTTTTAAGTAAAAAAGAATGTTTGGATTAGTTTTTAATTTATAATTACCATTACAACGTGCTTAAAAATTGTAACCAACTTAATTAAGTATATATATTTTTTTTAATTCTGAAACTAATTTTGTATAATTTATTATTTGTATGTGTTTGCCTGAACATACTGACACTCACGAACAAGAAATCATGCTTTGGAATCTTTTTTGGTTTTATGCTTTTCAAAACTGCATTAAAATATTTAAAAAATAATTTACCATGAAGGCCTAACAACTAGGAAACAGAGTTAAAATAGAGTCAAGGTATCACCGACACTGGAAAAGCAATTTATTTATATTTTGCCAAGAAAGTTTCAAAACTTTAATTTCAATTTTAAAAAAGTATTTTGTCGAATGTACTCTTAGGTGCTTAAAAGACGGAAATTTTTTCCGCGCTTATGTAAAAACCTCTTCCTCTTCCCCCCCTCCATCTCCCTTTATTAATTCTTACTTGTTATTAACAAAAAAATCTCAAAACTAAAAAAAAACAACAGGAAAAACATATATAAGTCACTGATAAGAATAAAAACTTTAAGTGTAATTAACCTTTCAAAATCATTGACCTTTAAATAATACCGTAAATTTCAATTTGTCAAATTTAGGTTTATTTTTGTTTCCCACCATGGTATAAAACTTATGTTAGCATATCAAATCCTATTGAGTTATAATAAAAAAGCTGTTTAAAAATGCGCATTAGAAGGCAAGCCAGTTTAGAATTGGGGGATTGACAGGTAGCCGTGGCATGGCAAAAACCGCTCGTCACGTATGTGATTAAGTCTTTCACAGATAGCTTTAATACACGATGCAATGACTCAACTAACAAGCAATTACGTAGCGATGCAACAATTCAACTAACAAGCGTATCGGCAAACTCCAGCAAGCAATATGAAGAAATCGGACAATTGCGAACGAAGCAAGATAATCGAAGATCATCAAAGCTTTTTGAATAGTTGTTTATTTGAAACCCATTCTGTATTACTGACAAAAATTTCCACTCACTGTCGACTGATATGGTATCATTTACTTATAAAGATAATGTAAACTGTGAGCTTGCTGAAGAAGTTAATAAAAATATTCAGAATGGGTTGGATAACGTGTTTTTTAAAGACGCAAAAATTAAAATAAAAAATCAAATCATAAGATTGGCTTATTGCTGCATGTAAAGGTAAAAAATAGTAAAGAACCAATAGGAGAACCAAGAATAATGTTTAACTGGCTAATAACTGTCACAACACTTAAAGATGATTTTGAATCTGTATTTGAATATGAACTGACTTATGAGCTGTCACCTTTTAAACAAGGCATGATGAAAAAGCCTTCCTTCGAAAACGATTCCTTCTCAAAGTGATAAAGTGCGATGTTGTTGTTAAAAATTAAGAGATCAGAACTCCAGACCACTATGTTTTAGATGGCGGTGGATTTCTACACAGAGTTAGATGTTTTAAAGAAATGAAATTTGAAACTGTTGCAGATGTTTATTCAAATTTTATTAAAAAAAGTTTCCAAGGATGCGTCACGTTTATTTTTGACGACTATCGAGATGAAGGCACAAAGAGTCACGAGCATCTATGTAGAAATTCTTTTCCACAAAATTGCAATTTAATCATTTAAAATTAATTATTTAAAACAACCTTGTGCCGTTTACTCAGAATTGTTTTCTAAGTAATATTGAAAACAACGCCAATATCATAAATTTTCTTTCACAGAATTTATAAAAATTGGGGTAAAAAATTATAAAAATTTGACTTTAAACTGCCCTGATGATTCTGATAGCACCGTTGTTTAAACCACTCTTGATATTGCAAACACATGCTTGCGGCATGTAAGCAGATATTGCAGTGATGCTTGTTGCACGAGATTTACTTTTTGAAAGATAAATGGGATAAAGCTTGGAGTATCAAGGATGTTTGCTCAAAAAATAAGACCATAAAACAACACCTGCTTTTTGTCCAGGCATGGTCAGGGTATGACACTGTTTTGTCTGTGTTTGGAAAAAGTAAAAAAAAACTAGTTGAAAACATCTCAGATGAGAAATGCCAAAAATTATCAGAAGTAATGACAAGTCCATGGAGTAATTAAGAAGAAATTGGAAACGCCTCGATTGAAGGTTTTATTTTGTTATATGGAGGAACAAAGGAAAGCGCACTTGCGAAATTAAGGTTTTTTTTTTTTTCAAAAATAATCCTAATTGTATCCCTTTTAAAAAACCAAGCGAACTTCCAGTGAAAAAATGTTTCAAAACCCAGTGATCTTTTTCAGCGAACTTCCAGTGATCTCTAAAGTTCACTGGAAATTTCCAGCGAACTTTAGAGATTACAGGTTTAAGTTTTGCTTTATTATGACTATTATGTTTTGTACAGATTTAAATATCTATATCAGTACAGAAAAGTAGAGCTGTTAAAAAATGTAAAGTTCCTTACAAAAAAAAACCCAAAAAACTTCCAGTGAAAGTTCGCTGGGTTTTTAAATTAAAATTATTTATTTATTATATTTTAATGCAGTTTTTATTTATGTTTAACTAAAATTGTAAATCTTTCTCTCTATATATATATTATGTGTATATATATATATATATATATATATATATATATATATATATATATATATATATATATATATATATATATATATATATATATATATATATATATATATATATAAATATATATATATATATATAAATATATATATATATATATATATATATATATATATATATATATATATATATATATATATATATATATATATATATATATATATATTTATTAGTAGAAAATCACTTAACAAAAATTTTTTTTAAATTTTTTTGATGTAACACAGTGTAAAATAAGAAAAAAAATTTTGTTAAGTAATTTTCTACTTATTTATAATTGCTCTGTTCTTTTAAGAACATTGAGCACTCTATTTTGTAGAATACATTTTTAAAATTGTTTAAATATATATATATATATATATATATATATATATATATATATATATATATATATATATATATATATATATATATATATATATTTATATATATATATTTATATATTATATATATATATACATACATATATATATATATATATATATATATATATATATATATATATATATATATATATATATATATATATATATATATATATATATATATATATATATATATATATATATATGTATATATATATATGTATATATATATGTATATATATATATATATATGTATATATATATATATATATATATATATATTCTTTATTTATTGTATGCATAATATATAACATAATATATGCATAGAGAGAAAGATTTACAATTTTAGTTAAACATAAATAAAAACTGCATTAAAATATAATAAATAAATAATTTTAATTTAAAAATCCAGCGAACTTTCACTGGAAGTTTTCTGGTTTTTTTCTGTAAGGAACTTTACAATTTTTAACAGCTCTACTTTTCTGTACTGATATAGATATTTAAATCTGTACAAAACATAATAGTCATAATAAAGCAAAACTTAAACCTGTATATTAGAGAAGAAGAAAAATATTGCAGTAAGTATATCTTATAAGCAATATGATGCTTAAGCATGTTTTTTAGCCCGTTTCAAAAAAGTCGAGAACCAAATGGCAGTAGTTACATTTTTTTTTCCGAATAAATGTACTTTGTTAACTTTCTCTGATAACTTATATCATCTTATTCAAATTGTATTTATTAGGGTATTTTAGTATACTTTTAGACGGAAAAATTATGAAGTCAGTGGTCTGTTGGTTCTCTACTGATAAATTAGCATAACAAAACAAACAGAATTGCGAAAATTGACTTTAAAAGTATTCATGCATTTTTTTCCGTTTGGGTCTTTAAAGCTAAAAAAAAAAAATAAGATGGTTTATACAGGACATCAATAACAATTTTATAAAAACATATAATAAATACTGTAAAAAATTTATACATATATATATATATATATATATATATATATATATATATATATATATATATATATATACATATATATATATATATATATATATATATATATATATATATATATATATATATATATATATATATATATAAATATATATATATATATATATATATATATATATATATATATATATATATATATATATATATATATATATATATATATATATATATGTATATATATATATATATATATATATATATATATATTTTATATATATATATATATATATATATATATATATATATATATATATATGTATATATATATATATATATATATATATATATATATATATATTATATATATATATATATATATATATATATATGTATGTATGTATGTATATATAATATATATATAGAGAGAAAGATTTATAATTTTAGTTAAACATAAATAAAAACTGCATTAAAATATAATACCTGCTTTAAAAAAAGCTCTGTATATATATATAAAAACTGCTTTAAAATAACTCTTTAACATAAGACATATTTTCTTTACCATACAAATCAAAAAACTCATAAACAAATCTATTAACTAATAATGTGGCTTCATTAATTACACTTTCAGATAATACCTTATTATTCAACATAAAAACAATGTTAGATAAAAGAATAAAATGGTCAAAAAACTGAGGAGGCAAAACATCACATACAATTACACACTATAAAAAACTAAAAAGTTAAAAAACTCAATACCTTTCCAACTTAATGATCATCGAGTCCGTCTTATATTGCTTGGCACACTGATTGCAGATAAAAGATTATTTACAACAGTACAGTGTCTTCTAATAGAAAAAATATAACCAGAATAACAACTATCAAATCAGAAAGAAAACATAGCTTTCATAACACCAAGCTCAATACAGTGCAGATTATCAACAACTGTTCCATTTACACAACTAAAATTAGGTACTCTTACAAATAAAATAAAAAAAATCTAAAAACCCTTTAGCTCATTATCACATTAATACAAAAAAAATCTGTATGGTTTCTACAACTCCCATTAACATCAGAAAATGGATAAGTCATACAAGACCTCCTACCTTTTTTAACTCTTACCCCTTGAGAGGAACACCAATGGCTACCATTAAAATCATTAAACTACCTACGACAAAAAACCATAGCTCTTGCAATTGTATCACACAAAAAAATAGATACATGAAAAAAAAACACAAACATTATTAGATAAGAGTATACCAGTAGTGGATAGGTTAGTAAAAAAATCAACAAAACAAGATAAAAATAATTGCACGTTTGGTGCAATTACTGGACCAGAAACCAAAAAACAAAATATTAGTAATTTGCAATGAATATGGAAAATTATGAATGGATGTTAGCAAAGGCCACAAGGTCCACTTTGATAATTTAAAAACAGGAACTCCATCAGTATTAACAACAAGTCTAATTGTTGCTTGCCCATTTTCTTCAAAACTTCCTAAATGTATTCAATTGTTATCACACGTATTTTTATGCTGTTTGTTTATGTTTAAAATATGAAAATAATTGCATTTCTTATAAAGATAAGATAATGTAAAATATTTCAAACATTTTGTACATTGCTTATTAGTACTTAAAGCAACTTTACAAATGCATATATATATATATATATATATATATATATATATATATATATATATACATATATATATATACATATATATATATATATATATATATATATATATATATATATATATATATATATATATATATATATATATATATATATATATATATATAAATTAGTAAAAGCACTTATCTAATTTTTATTTTCTTTTACAGCTCGTTTCTCCATCATTCCTTCATCATCCATCCTTCCTGATGATCCTACTGATGGAGAAACAAGCTGTAGAAGAAAATAAAAATTAGATAATAAATTAGATGTTTTTACTAATTTATTTATATATATATATATATATATATATATATATATATATATATATATATATATATATATATATATATATATATATATATATATATATATATATATATATATATATATATATATATATATACACTGAGAGAGAGAGGGATATATATTATATATCCCTCTCTCTCTCTCAGTGAGAGAAACAGTTTATTATTTATTATTTTTAATATAAAATACCTAATCATAAAGACATTTATAAAAATTATTTTTATAAAATAATAAAGTTGAATTTGATAAATAAAATGCATTCGCATAAAGCGAATGCAAAATAAACAACACTAAAATATAATAACAAAATCATCAGGTATGTTGCTCAAAATAAAGATTTTGAGCAAAATAACTGATGATTTTGTTTTGTAACTTGAGTAGAACTAATAATAATTGAAACTCGCACTATAGATTATCTATTAGATGCAAAAAATAAAATAAAAATGATTTCTTTTATACAAAAATTTGAAATATTATTTTAAGAAGATATATTATCAATTTTCCAAGTTTTAACTGCGTGCAGAAGTTGTAACAGCAACGCTTTTTAAATCACTGGAAAAACGGCGAAATATTTCGCAAGAAACTCAGTAAACTTTCAGATAACTTTAAGATCACTGAAAGTTTTTCGTTGGATTTCCAGCGAACTTCCAGCGTAGTCTTTTGTTTCCATGGGAATCCAGCGAACTTTGCCGAAAACCCAGTGATCTAAGTAAATTTCCAGTGATCTTTTAAATTTCCAGCGAACTTTCGCTGGAAGTTCGCTGGGTTTTTTTGTAAGGGATACAATCATAATTGTATACAATCCTAATTGTAAAAATCATAAATGTATAAAATCAAAAAAAATCATAAATGTAAACAATCCTAATTGTATACAAAAAAAAGTCCTAATTGTATACATTTTGAAAAAAACCCTAATTGTATACAATTGTATTTTTTTAACCTTTTACTAAACCATGGTTAATTTAAGTTTTTAATTTTAATTGTTACTTTTTTCTCTGGAAAGTGTTTTTCATACAAGTTTAAAAAATTGTGATGGAAGTTATTAAACATGAAGTTTGCATCATTGAATGATTCTAATGGAGACCATTAGAATCATTCAATGATGCAAATTTTGAAACGCTAATTGATTGTTTATTGATAGGAGTAATTTACCAGGTGTAAATAATATAAATTGCTTTCAAAAACTAATAAAAAAGAATATTTCAAAGTATACAAATCTTATTAATGATTTCTTTTAAACTGACTTGCTTTTTTTTTTTTTTTTTTTTTTTTTTTTTTTTTTTTTTACATTGAAAAGTTTTTGGTTTTAATACTATTTACCTTAGTTAATTAAATTTTGCTTTTAACACTATTATAGGAATTTAATATTGTAAAAACATAACTATTACAACGGTTCTTGATGATAAGACTTAATGGTCTTCTGCAAGTTTCTCGCGTTTTTTTATATATATTTTTTATAATTAACTCTTATTATTTTGTCTTTGATTTTTTATATTTATAACTGGTTTATTTTTGAAAGAATAAGAGTGTTATATTACGAAATTTAGTTGTAACAAAAACGGAAATTTAATACAATACAATACAAATAATTACCTTACTTAATTTTATTATTAATTTCAGGTATAAAAAATACATTGATTTAGCATGCAAGGCGATAATATCCCTAGAGAAACCTCTACCTATTGGTAAAACTGCTTACTTCCATGATGTAGTCACATCTGTAATGATCGATAAAGATGTTGCGCTAGTAGCACTAACATTCATTAGATGCAATTAAAAGTCATAAGATGTAATTGCCAGGTATGTTATTGAAATGAATGTATTTTTTTTTGAACTCCCTGAAAAGATCTTACAAAACTTTATCAATATAATTTAAACTTAAATACTTTTTTGTTTCTAATTGCAACCATTTCCTTTTTTTCTTATTTTAAGACAACAACAAAAAACCCCATGTGGCGGCAAGGAATGTACATATAAGAATAGGTGGGAAGGAATGTACGTATATAAAAATACGGAATACGGTGCATGCAATTATGTGGAGAATGTCGTGGAACAGAATGTATGAAGGCAAATTATAACAATGTATAAGGTAACAATTATATTAGGTAACATTATAACAAAATATAAGGTAAATCATAACAATGAAACTTATGCAAAAATATTCTCGCATCATTTATCTTTATTATCACATATCAATATTTCCACAAAATACCAATCGTATATTTGCAAATCTATTTCCTGTAGTGCATTGAAAATGAAGAGGAAAACGATATGAAAAGTTATGACGTTGAAGATAAAAACTTATTTAAATGTTTCCTGATTTTTAAATTTAGAAATATGTTTTTAAAATAAACAATTTAATTTTGTTTTTATTAAATGTGACAAATGACCTTTTTAATAAATGTTTTTATTAAAACATTACTTTGTGTATTATTTATAAAACTTATGTTAAATCTACCCTTTCATTTGTTAAATAACTTCCTACCCGGTCATTTTAAGGCTTATACTACATATTATATTTCATTTAAAAAGTTCAGCATAAAAAATACTTTAAAATGGTGTATCATAGTTCTATATTTAAATACAGTTTTTCTTTTTGTGCACGCGTCTTTATGAAATAGGTTCCGAAAAAGGGGGTCCTCCTGTTGCAAATCATCGGGCATTTTTTTTTACCTGATCTAAATACCCGATGGAATCACTGTGCAAAGTTTCAGCTTAATAAAAAAATTTTTCACAAAAATAATCTTATTCAACTGGACTGTCAAGAAATTTTACTAAACAAAAAATGTAAATTAATTTCTAAATGCAGCCATGAAAATAAGTACCTTTCAAAAAGTTATATAAACAAATGATCAAACTAAAATTATCCGAGTTCTAGAGAATTCTTTTCATAATTAATCTTTTAATTTTAATTTAGTTGATGTAACTTTCTGATTACTAAATAGCTACAGTTTTTATATAACTAATTACAACAATTTCCAACTTCCTTTGTAACATTTTTTCTACAATTTAATTTTTTTTTTATGTTTAGGTATTCTTCCTGATGAACCTACTGTAGAGAAACACGTTGTTGAAAAAAAATAATAATTAGATAAGTGTTTTTTCCTCTGTTCTTTAAGAGCATTGAGCACTATTTGTAGAATACACTAACATAATATATATATATATATATATATATATATATATATATATATATATATATATATATATATATATATATATATATATATATATATATATATATATATATATATATATATATATATATATATATATATAGCGTATTCTACAAATAGCGAGCCTATTGATTTCTGGTTCTACCAGATACTGGATTAGCTGAGTGTTGGTGCCTGTTGGTAATTGTTGTTGATGTGCTGTGCCACCAGCAGACGTAGACTGAACAATTTCATCAATACATTGTCGAAGTAATGATGATGATCTGGAAGAATTGTTCAGCCGGGATCGTTTTGCTGGAATTTCTTTAATTTTGTCAATCTGCTGCTCAGCATGATCAGATCATGATTCAAAGATCGTGTTTCAGACTATATTGTGTGCCAGACTATCGTGTGTCAGACTCTATCGTGTGTCAGACTCTATCGTGTGTCAGACTATCGTGTCAGACTATCGTGTGTCAGACTCTATCATGTGTCAGACTCTATCGTGTGTCAGACTATTGTGTGTCAGACTATCGTGTGTCTTCACTTCAGAATATTGTGTACCTTCTCTTCAAAATTTTTGGTTAAACTGTTGAGTTGCTTAGCTAATTAAATTGTAAAGAAATGTAATTACAGATACCATTACAAACATGAAGTTCATAGAATATAGACTTACAAAGAACATTGATTTGTATAAATAAAATGTTAGTATACATTTAAACACAGCAAAAAAGATCTAATAAATATCTCAGATTTGCTAACTTTTTGCCGGAGCCTGAATGGAGCCTGATTTGTAAAAATAACCGGGTTTCGGCCGAAGCAGGAGCCGAAATCCGGTACAGCTCTGACGACAACACGGGTTTCGATGTGGCGGAAGGGGCACAATTTTTAAAAAAAGTCTTCTATATCTAGAATATTCTTAAAAAAAAAAGTTTTTAGAAAAAAAGTGGTGGTGGTGGTGGTGGGGTTAATGGCACGTGTCCCGACCCCCCGCTCTGTGTGTGTGTATATATATATATATATATATATATATATATATATATATATATATATATATATATATATATATATATATATATATATATATAACGCCAAAACATATGTATTTATTGCGCCAAAAGCCAAAACTTAAATAAAATAAATCATCAAGAGAATGAAAGAAAAACTCCAGTTCACTTTTAAATTTTTTTTATATAATCTATCTATTGATCCTTATTTTTTATTGTCTGATTTTATAATTGCAAGGGTTTCTTTATTTGCGACTTCCAGACAAAATATGGGCTAAATTTAAAAATGTTGTTTATCGCAATTTTTTTTTTATTATTCTTATATTTTACCGTACATATAACATTTACAAGTTTCAAAAATTAAAGGTGTAATATTTACAAGTCTCGTCAAAGTATATAATGAAATTTATAATTAAATAGTACGGGCCGGACTTAAAAAAGATCGTAATGATCTTATCAAGAAGCCCTTACAATGTGATTG